ATAAAGCAGATTACTGTCTCTGCATACAGCAGAGATAAACGGGCCACCCACCTAGCTCAGCTCAGAGTCACCTACTTTCCACAATTCTCGGTCATTCCTCCTCAAGCCACTCCTCCACGGAATAAAACCGGGTGAGGCCCTAGGTCAGCCTCTTTGTTCCGAAAAGCCATCTTCGTGGCTGGACTTAGGGCCCCTTGGCTCCCCAATAATCATAAATATGTCTTAGTGTCTTTACTTTTGCCGTGGTTGCACTGGGAGTGGTAGATTGGAATTAACTTGGTGGGATTCCAATAACGTATCTTTGGGATTACAAATATTAACTTCTTGGACTCAGAGAACCAGGAAGGGACTCCTACACTGTGATGGGGTCCTGACATGTAACTGAACCCCTCAGAGGCTCCTGACCTGCAACAGCCCCAGCAGCTTCTCGCGCCTCTCCCCATCTAGGACTGGCCCATCCCCTGTGGCCCCACAGGGTCTTCCATCCATTCAGGTTGGTGAAGGGCTGGGCTGACAGCCCTGGAGCAAAGGGGTTGTCCCTCTGGGTGAGAGGCTGCCAGGCTTAGCCAGGTACTGCAAGGCCAGGGGCGGGGTACTAGGGAACCTGGATGGTGCCCCCTGCCTGAGGAGCACAGCTTCTGCAGGCCTGATAGCATGGCTGAGGTGACAGCTGGGGGTGAGGGCTGAGAGCAGCTGTGTCCCTGGGCTCTTCCACTTCCCTCCCTCCACTCACTGAGACTCCTGCAGAAGGGACTAGAGCTGTGGGAGCAGCCCGTTCTCCCTTCAAAAAGAAACTTGAAGCCATTACAGGTGTGATGGTGCATACCTGTAACTGTGGCACCTGGGAAACTGAGGCAGGATCATTGCCACGATGCCACGAGACTGAGGCCAAACTGAACTACACAGTGAGACCCTCGCTAAAAAAACCAGAGCCAAGGATTGTGGCGGCTGCTGGTCTCATGTAGCCTGTGACACGCTGGGGTGAAATGTAGCCTATGTCAGCAGCAGCACCACGCAGCTATCCCAGGAGGCAGCTGCCAGCCCTGCCCAGCACAAAAGGAGCCTCTCTCTCTCTTGCTCATCTGAACCCCTGGGCATCTCAGGCAGAGAGCTCAGTGCTGAGCCCTCAGCTGAGTGGAGCAGAGGCACCACCCCCAATAGGGAAGCACTCCATTTGGATATAAATACCCTGTCCCCAGCCACCACCTGTGTGGTAAAAAGTGAGGGCTCCAGCTCTCGCACAGCCGCCGCCAAGGTGCTCAGTTCTTCTGAGGGAGCTAAGGCCACATGGGGGGTAAAGCCTGCCCTTCCCCATGCACCACGGCCTCTCAGAGCGCAGCTGCACCTTCCCCCTACATGGCATGGAGGTGGCCGTGACGGAGGATGAGATGAACAGCTTTGTTAAAGCAACTGGCGCTAATGCAGAAGCCTCTTGCCCTGCCTTGCTCTGCAGAGACCCTGGCCTGTGTCAGCACTGGGAGCCTCATCTGCAACGGAGGTCCGGCAGCCTGCTCTTCGGCCGGGGCTGCTCATGTGGGAGGGCCTGCCTCCTGCTCTGCCACAGAGCCAGTCAGCACTGAGGGCAAGAAAGCGAGGCCAAAGAAAGAAGAACCTGAGGGGTCTGCTTGCAAATGGGCCTGGGCTTTCTGATGAAACTTCATTTTGAAACGTTCAATAAAAACTGAACGGCTAAGAAACTTAGAGTCCACCTCACACATAGCTGGTAGGAACAGTGGAACAGCCGCTCTGGCAGTTTCTCATAATGCTGCACAGAGGCAATGACACACGCTGTAATCCCAGCCACTTAGGGGGCTGAGCTAGGAAGATCATGAGTTCAAGGCCAGCTGGGGCCTCTTAGGATCCTGTCTTAAAATCAAACAAACGGGGGCTGGTGAGATGGCTCTGGTCTAAAAGCACCTACTTAGAACAAGCTTAGCACAGGGACCGCGGTTCAATCCCCAGCACAACATGCCAGCCAGCCCCAGCCCCAGGTGGGCTGAGCTGGCCACACACACACACACACACACAATAAATTTTAAAAAAAGAAAAAGAAATCAAACAAACCTTAGGGACAAGCCCTGATTTGATTCCCAATGCCCAGGAACTAATACAGGGTCTATATGCAGGATAAACAAAAACACATATCCACACAGAAACTTGTATACCAAGCTCGTAGCAGCATTCTTCATAACAAAAAGTAGAAAGAGCCCAAATGTCTACCAGCCAGCGGGAGGAAGCAACATCGTGGCTGGGACATTAACTATGAAAGAGAATAAAGCACTGAAGCGTTCTCTCACACGGACACACTCCAGAAGCCAAGAAACATACCCTAAATGAGTGAAGCCGGCCACAAATGGCCTTCCTCTGTATGATTCCACTCAAACAAAGTGTCTAAAAAAGCCGAAGAGGTAAAGGCCAAATGTCTTGGGTTACTTGGTGCTAGAGGAAGGTGAGCAGGGAACACTGGTGATGGGAATGGGGCTCTGGAATTAGGTGCGATGGCTGCATAGTTATACAGCATACTGTAGTGTGTAAGCCCTACCTCAAGAAAGCCACCAAGAAATAAGCAGTTCAGGCCCAACCAAGCAGGCGGAGGGATCAGGCTGAGGTGTGCTGCTGCTGCTGCGACTCTTGATGCTGCTGAATGCCATCTGAAAAGAATCCTGTGACCCCAGCACTCTGGGAGACAAGGCTCAGCAGTGGGCCTTCCCTCAGCCCCTCTCGGTACCAGAGTCTGGGTGAGAGCAGCGGGTAGGCGAGGGTCCCTCTGCCTGGCAGGTTCCTCCCCTTCAGCCCACCACATCTATTCTCTGAGGTGGCTCCTGCTCTGTATCCCTCCCACTAAGCAAGGAAAACTGTGACAGGAAAGGTGTGCTGCTCCTTGTATTTCAGGTGTACACTGGACTCATGGAATAGTTCTGTGTGGGCCAGCACGAGCCTAGCGTGAGAGCTCCATGTCTCCACCTGTGCTTATTAGGAACTGCTTCCTTCTCCTTCACACACACAGTAGGTGCCTTCATCGATGTGGTTACCACAAAACCGTCTGTAACTGCCTTTTTGGTCTCTGTGAGCCTCACGGGTGGGACTCAGCCACCCTGGAAACTACGCACAGACACTACCTGCTGGTGGGGTGACCTGTATGCATGAGTGAGATGGGCGGGGTAGCTACGATCTGTCTCTCCAAGTGGAGAAACTGAGGCAGGGACTGCGCCTGAAAGGGGGATAGGGCTGCCCGAACACTGGGCTCATTTCTCTCCACCCCTTGGCTCACTGGTCAAGATCACCAAATGGGTGGGGCCTTCAAACCGGCACACACAGGAAGAGCAGACTGTACAGGTACTACTACAGCAGGCCAGTCGTCCAGCCTAGAAACAAGGCCCACCCAGACTCCTGGGCCGGGTTGCAGTGGAGCACAGGCGCTCATCTTCTCAGCTAGGTGCTGGGCAGGAGACCAGGAATCAAGGGCAGGGCTGCATTCCTGACCTGGACACAGTATTCTCCGCCCCTGGCCTGCTTCTGCGCCTTGGCTGTTATCTTCAGGGAATACCCCAGCTGAATACTCAGAGCCTGGCGGGCCTTCAGGGGTCTCTGGCTGCTCCATCTCCTGTATGGGACGTGGGGCTCAAGGCCCAGCTCACTTCAAGACAGAATCAGTTCCTGTTAGTGAAGAAGACATTTGCACCCTCAACACAGGCTCTTGCCTCAGAAAGCAGAATGAGGTAGCAAATGTACAACCTTGGAATCCTAACTTAGAAGGCGGGAAGAAATGCCCTTGGCCCCACAGCAGGCCACCAGGAGGCTGCTCAAGTGTGAGCCGGAGGCGCGACTGCATATTCCGAGGGCCTACCAAGGCTGCACCGCGCTACGGCGGAGGGCAGGGATCCCCAGACTTAACTTCCCCGCAGGGTGATGAGCTCAGCGATTCTCCTGAAGCCTGGAAGCGATTTGGCTACACCACGTAAACCATGGCGGATTAAAGTGGAAGAGCTACCGGCCTTTTCTCCTGTTTCCTCCGTGGTCCCTCTACGGTTCTGGTGCAGGCGAGCGGGTTGCGGCGGGAGCGGGTGGATGCACAGAGCGCAGGGAGCGCAGGAAGCGCAGCGCGGGCCGGGCCCCTAGGCCCACCTGCCACTGGCGGGCCGCCGCGGGCGGCCGCTTCCCGCTTAGACAACCAGAGGCACAGGCCTACCAGGCGGGGAGCTACGTTGTTCTCCGCACAATAAATACATTTTACGTCCTGCCCAGGTCCTCACAATCTACGTGAAGTACTTTACAAATCTACACTTATTTTCATCATGCGGCTCCGCAGCAGCTTTCTCTCGCCCTATTTCACTTTTATTAAATGCTGGTCCCTACCGACTTTTACCTAGGACCCGATGTTAGGCCTCGACCTGCTAATCCCCACGGTAACGAGACGCCACACACGTGTGCAGGTACTCCGCGCGCGGCGCGAGGCCGGGCGCTCTCCGTCCCGCAGCCTGAGGCCCGGGCCCGCGGGCGGCCCGACAGCGAGCCGCGCTTTACCTGAAGGGCGCCGAACTCAGGGTCCGACTCTCCGGATGCGCCGCCTGAAGCGGCGGCGCCGTGCGGCCCCGCGCCTCTCCAGCTCTCCCGGGGCCGCCGGGAGCCGAGGGAGAAGCTGCCCGCGCCGCCGCTCCGAAGCCTGGAGCCTAAGGGCGGCCGGCACGCGCGGGGGGCGGGGCTTGGCGCTCCGCCAGAGCCGCCCCGGCCCCGCCCGCGAGTTTGCAAACAGGGGCCGCCCGCCCCCTGCGCACGCGCGCTCCGCCCAGTCGGTTCAGTCTCTGGCACCCAGCCGCCCGCTCGCGGGGTGAGCCGGGAGCCGCCTACTGAGGGGCAGGCGAGGCCCGCCCCCAACGGGGACACCCTGCTGCGCAGGCGCGGCGTGCGGGCCCGCCCCTCCCTCCGCCGGCAGCACGGCCATATTTAAAGGGCGGCGGGTGCAGCGAGCCAATAGGCGACGAGCGTGCGGGGGCGGCGCGTGGCGGCCTTAGGCCCCGGATGTGGCTGCGGCGCTGCTCCTCCCCGATTCTCTCTGCCGGGCCGCGCGCCCCCGCTGCACTCCCTCGCTCGCAGCCCGAAGGCCCCTCGGGCGCGTCGGGAGGCGCCCGGGCGGCGCGGAGCGGTGCAGGAGCGGGTGTCCCGGAAGCCGCGCGGTGGCGGAGCGGGCGGGGCCCGGCGCTCGTCCCCGGCCCGGCGCGCCCCGGCCGCCGCCATGAGCGGCTCCTCGGGTACCCCGTATCTGGGCAGCAAGATCAGCCTCATTTCCAAGGCGCAGATCCGCTACGAAGGCATCCTCTACACCATCGACACCGACAACTCCACCGTGGCGCTCGCCAAAGGTAGCGACCCGCTGCCGCCGCCGCCGCCGCCGCCGCGCGCCCAACCGCCGGCAACAGTCCCGTCCGCCCCTGCCCCCACCGAAGCCCCGGACCTGGTGCCCCTACCCCGACCTCCCCGGCCGTGCCGGCCCCTGCCCCCTCCTGGAGCCCCTCCCCAGGCCCCACAACTCCGGCCCCACCTTGTGCTGCGCCGCCCCGCGCCCCCCAGGCCCCCCCACCCCGACGGCCCCCTGCCCCCCACCGCAGACGGTCGGGACTCCGGCGGCCTCGGTGTGCGCAGGCGTCCGCGTGGGCCTCGGGGAGGGCGGTCGGGTTTGCCCCGTTCCTCGCCGCCCTCCGCCGCGCAGCCCCCCTACAGGTGCTGGGGGCGGGCCGGCTCCCCAGGACCGCGGCACCTCCACCTGCGGGCGGTGTCCTTGCCCGGCCGAAGAGGGAGTCCCGGGGCCTCCCCAGAAGGCGGAATGGGGGCGGGGCAAGAAAATGGAAAGCCTGCGAGTCCTCCTGGAGCCCATTAGGCAGCTGGGGCTCACCGCGTCGGGCGGAGCCTCTTTCGAGGTAGTGTCGACTGAAGACAAACGGGTATCTAGAGTCTGAGCTGTTTGGCCAGACAGCCCAGCTGCCCTGCCCTTTTGGGACAGACACCAGTGGGCACTGGCCTATTTCGAGGAATGCGTTTGTGATTAAAAGAAGTCAAACAGTGATCTGCTGCAGGCAGCGCAGGGCCCCATACCCCCTTTGTCTCCCGTCTCCGCTGTCTTGAGAAGATGAGGGGCATACTCCCGTCTCGCGGGAGGGCGGCCAGCTCTGCAGCACCCTGGTTGTGCGCTAGGGCCTCGCGGGCTGTGCACTCATCCAAGCTCTCAGAATAGCTCGTTTTGAAGCCTCAGTTTTCCGAGATTTTGTGTCGATAGAAGCTCTTAGTACGGCAGGGTGGAAGTGAGGTCCAGCGTAAGTCTGGGTCCTCAGGAGTTCTTCTGTGGCTGGAACCAAGTCCAGCGTGGCCCTGAAGCCCTGCTAAGAGATGTGGTGGTGGGGCTTCCCAGGCCTTGCAGGTCAGAGATTCATCTTCCAAGGAGTCCCGGAAACTCAGGATTTCCTTATCAACCACAGGCTGGTTTGGGGGCGCTAAGTTCTGAGACCCCTTTTTTGTTACTTTTCTGACGATTCTCCAGGGCTGGTTGTGTGAAGTCCTGCGAAGGTAGCATAAAGCTTGGCTGGTTTGTTGCCTACGCGCTGCCCCCCTTAGCCGCAGGGTGTGGTGCGGCGTCATGTGCACAGCCACTGAGTCTACATCTGCAGACTCAGGTGAACCTGGAGATTCTACGAAGTAAGCCTGGTTTTGTTGTGTGCACCTCCATACGGTAGTGTTTTACGCTGGAGGATGTGGAGTTTCATGAGATGGGCAGTTTGTGAAATTTTCCTTCTCATCTTTTTGATACTCTGTTTCTTTGGAGTGTCTGCGACTGAGCCCTTGTGAGTTTTGTCTATTGAAAGTGGGGGAATAAGTACCTTTGAACTGTAGGCTTGGGTGCTGGGTTGGGGACCGTGCTCAGGGATCCCTGTCTTCTGGAAGATTGAGGAGCTATAGCAACAGAAAACTGGTGGCGTGAATTTGACATGTGACAACCACTTAATCCTTCTTTTTCTTGACCCCTAAGTGAGGTCCTTTGGTACTGAAGACCGTCCCACAGATAGGCCTGCTCCCCCAAGAGAGGAGATTTATGAGTACATCATCTTTCGGGGAAGTGATATCAAAGATATTACCGTATGTGAACCTCCAAAAGCTCAGCACACACTCCCTCAGGACCCTGCTATCGTTCAGGTAAATGTACTGGTGTTTTTCTCCATGGGTGCTTCTTGTTTTTGGGATAGTCTCAACATAGAGTAGGCTGCCTTGGACTCCTGGCAATGCTTCTGCCTCAGCATCCCGAATGCTGGGGTTACAGGCATGTGACAGCCAGCAGCTGGGCACTGTCTAAGAGAAGTTGGTTTTCACGTGGAACGTGATGTCATCTGTTTGGCTGGGATGTCAACATCAGGCCTAAGCCATGATGGAGAAGTGGTAAAGCTTACATGTAGCCTGCTGGTGTTTCTGTGGGAAGTACCTCATGCAGCAGATAGCAGGGCGAGATGGTGTGGCAGAACCCCTGGGGGGCGGTGAGGAGGTGCTGCTTCTAATCCTGCCTTGGATCTAGGGTACATACGGTACGATACTTGGAGAACTCCAGCCCTGAGCCGCATGAAGCGCTTGCAGGGACAGCAGGATTGCTGTCTTGGTAGTGTGCCCTTGTTCAATTCCAGTGCGCTGGATTGCTGAATTTACAAGTCTTAATAAGGATAGTAACATGTTGGCCTGCTGGTGATGCCGCTTGATTACCAGTGCACCCACATTCATCCGTTCAGCTCCTTTAAGGTTCAGACTGAACTACATTCAGAGGTAGGGCTACACAGGAAGGGTAGGAGCAGGCAGGCTGGGCTTCAGGAGCACTTGGAGGAGTCCAGGACAAACTTGGAGCCTCGAGGGGCAAAGAGGAAGCAGCCAGGAACAGCGAAGGAAAAGATCACTTCCAGACAGAGGTGGGGTTCTGGAGTCTTGTCCAGCGAGAAGGTAAATGTTTGGGGCTGCTTCGCTGTCCCTGGCCACTCAGCTGGATGAGTCTGTCTCAAATGGAGGGTGACATCTCCTCCTGTTGTAGAGACTGAAACTAGTGATGGCAGAGAGAAACTATTAGTTTTGCGTTAGGGGATATTCCGGTTAGAATTATGTGGATAGGTGTAGCTGGGGAATAAAATGTAAGAAGAGACAGTTTCGGCCGTCCTGGCAAGTGCTTAGGACTAGCAGTGCTGTGTGCAGACGTGGAGGGCGGCAGGAGAGCCGTGCACTGTTCTCACCCGTGTGTCTCGTCGTCCAGTCTTCCTTGGGCTCTGCCTCTGCCTCGCCCTTCCAGCCTCACGTGCCTTATAGCCCCTTCAGAGGGATGCCGCCCTACGGCCAGCTGGCCGCCAGCTCCCTGCTCAGCCAGCAGTATGCCGCCTCCTTAGGTCTCGGTGAGTAACCTGCTTCTGTCTACACAACTAGGAAGAAGTGGGGAGGGTGGGGGCGTGTCCTCTTGGTCACAGCTCCTAGGCTGTGTTGTCTGGCACGTTGGACAAGTCACCCGGCACAGCTTCCACGGGTTAAGTGTGTTTAGGAACTGTTAGCCGAGAGTAAGAGGCGGCAGCCTGAGTTTTGCACCAAACGATCCAAATCCAATTGCAGTGTCAGCCTGGGTCTGAATAGCAGTCCTGGTATGTTTGTCTCAAGGAGGAAATACTGCCGTGTGTAGTAAAGCTCATCTTCGAGTTGTAGCCGTTTGTGCATCTGTAAACTGGTAAACATAACATTCTAGCTCACTGTTATTCTACTGGCAAGTACCTTAATCAAAGACATTTCCAACCAAGGTTGAGTAGTCCCAGAGTGAGAGTCTATTGTCTGTATTGAGAGTGAGCTTGGCCTCAGCCTTAAGGTAGTTCTGCGGCTGTTTTCAGAACATGAGAATTGGCAGGTGGTCCACCCGCGCTGGCTTGGGCTCCAGCGTGATGCAGCTGAAGCAGGGAACAGGAGTTGGGCCAAACCAGTTCTGTGGGTCACTGGTTTGCCGTGGTTGCTGGTCCAGTGTGATGGGTGGCCTCTTAGTGTGGCTGACGGTTTCTAAAATATAGTTGTTGCTTGGCTCTTTCCAAGCTTTCTGGACAGAAGAAAGCATATCCTGACTTACTTGTGTGCTTTCTCTTTGCTCTTCTCTCCTTTCTCTTCCTTTAGAGAAGTTGGTAAGCCCTCCAGCCTCAGCCGCTGCTTCCAGTCCTAGTTCTTCTCCATCTCCACAGCCTGTTTCAGAGCTTGACATGTCCTCAGAGCCACCTCAGCTCACTTCCAAGGGTAACAGCAGTTTGGAGAACTAACTGCGTGCTGTCTTGCAGACCAGTCTGAGAGCAAGGGGGTGAAGCAGCCAGGATGACAGGAGCCATGGCAGGCCATTCGCCAGGCCCAGGGACCGGTGATGTGCTTTTTCTGGCTTAGCACATAGCCGGATTACCAACTACCACAGGTTTAAAGACGGGACTGGAAAGAATCAGCCGAGTGCTTGGTTCACTCTGCTTGAGTCCAGGGTTTGTTGTGGCTTGTCAGCAACCACCACCTGTGGGAATCTTCACTTTTGACACAGCGCCACGTCCCCGAGGGCTTACTGGGTCTTAAACATGTTCTAGATTGGCACGTGGGACTCCCCTAAGCCATCATACACGACCCGTGAGTCACTGGTTCAAAACTGGGAGGCTGGGTAATGATGCCCAGCTATTGGCCAGGTGACCTAGTCCCAAGGATTAGTTTGTCAATGCTGGTGTCAGTTACCTGTCTCTGCTGAGACAGCGGCATCTGTGGAGTATCATAAGCTCCCAGTAGTTGAAGCTTCAGTTATGAAATCCCTGAGGTTCTTTATCCTGGAGTTCTGATATCCATGTCAGAGATGCTCTTAAGCCCTCCCTGTACATCTACAAGCATGAGTCCTTATTACCCCTGCCTGGTCCCGGAGATAACCTGGGGCTTTCTTTTTGTTTGCAGATGTTGCTTTCCAATCCCTGTGCAGACTCTCTATAGTCTATATATTTTTTCCACATAAAAATAACAGACACCTTCATATATTTGCAGTGCCACTCGTATAAAACTGTCCATAGAGCAAGATTGTTGAAATAGTTTAATGGAAAGCAAGTAAAGCTGTCTGTCCGGTAGGGTTGGTCATACTGAGTGAGATGACAGGCCAAAGAAACGGGTCTCCATTTATCAGTTGGAGAAGCCCAGACAGATACTGGCCTTGTCAGTGTATCTATTGCTCTGTCACAAGGAACTTTTTAAAAAAAATGTTTTTATTATTTATCTGGTACAGGGTCTCACTACCCAGCTCAGACTCATAGCCATCCTCTTGTCTCAGCCTCCTTAGTGCTGGGATTCCAGGTGTGCACCACCAAACCTGGTTTCAGTGGCTGGCATGGCACACCCGGGGTTCCAGGGCCAGCACTGTATGTGGTACCAGGGATCGAACCTGGATCCTTGTGCTTGCCAGGCAGGTGCTTAGATCGCCGAGCTATCTCCTCAGCCCACAAAAAACTTTTCCACAGTAACTCTTTAGTTTGTATGCAGAGTAAAAAGCAGGCTGCCCCCATCTCACCTGTGCTGGGCTGCTCTTTTGGTAATAATTACCCGCCGTCCAGACTCCTTTTTGTGTCTCAGTCTCCACGCAGCTCCCTGCTGTCACACTCACATGGACCCAGGCCCTGAGGCCTGAGCTAGGCTCAGGTCTGTTTCCTGGGCTGGAGCTCCCTGGCTTGGTTTGAGGGCTGTGTCTTAGTGCTGGGTGTGGGCCCCTATCGAGGCTACCTGGGAGCTCTCACTCGCTTTACAGAGAGGCTTGCTCTTGAGAGGCTGAGGGCTGTTTCCTTCACTGCAGTCACCTCTTACTACTTCATCCTATTCATGCTGTAAGCAAAAGTGACATTCTAGGATTTGGTTTCCAAATCTGACCGCTGCACGTTACAGATCTTGGTCAGCATGGACGAGAATGAAGCACTCTCAGATCTTGAACTTAGCATCTTGCAGTTGTAGAGCCCCTTTGGAGTCAGAGCAGGTTAGGACGGTCCAGGGAGATGCCTGTGTGTAGGCACAGTCTTCCCCTTGGATTCCCTGACTCAGCTCTGATCCTGGGCAGCCCGGCAGTGGGTGGCCCTTGTTCTGCCCTGCGACTTGACCTTCATCTGCTCCTTGGGCTAGCGGCAGAGGGGACGGCCCAGCTGGGGTCCTTGGCCCTGATTTAGATCCTTCAGACAGTGGCGCTTTCCTGCCTGATGCGCCAGCCAGAAGTGACAGGATAAGTCTGTCTTCTTCCTGTTTCTGAATCTTCTTCCTTCTTCAATTCAGGAGCTGGTTTTCCATCTGTCCCAGTTGGCAAGAGCCCCATGGTGGAACAGGCTGTCCAGACTGGTTCTGTTGATAACCTGAATGCCAAAAAGCTGTTACCTGGCAAGGGCACCTCAGGGACACAGCTCAGCGGTCGCCAGGCCCAGCCGAGCAGCAAGACCACTGGTGGTACTTGAATACCTACTTCTTTTCAGTTTGCTTTATGTTCTGAAAGTGGCACACTACTTACTGGGTTATTTTTTCAAACATTACTCCACGTGCTTTGTAGGGCATCCTTTCTCCCCGGAGGCCTCGGGTGGTGGCGGTGGTGGTGGCAGTGGCAGTGGCAGTGGTAGTGGTGCCTGCTTTGGTGGCTGGGTTCAGGCTTCTGCAGGAAGCCTTACTCTTCTTGCCTTACTCTTTCTTTGCGCCTTAGATGTAGTCCAGCCAACAGCTGTGCACACTCAAGGGCAGGTGAATGATGAGAACAGAAGACCTCAGAGGAGGCGGTCAGGTAACACCTGTTGCCACTTGAGTCCTGGGCACTGCAAGGAGGCTGGGCTTTGCTTACCTTGTTGGGGCTCTGGGAGCAAGGTGCTGCATCTGGGAGCTGTGCCCTCGTGGTGCCTGCTGGGTGCCTTCTAAGCTGCTTTTGAAGTCATGCTTAAACATGGATTTGATGGTTGACTTCAGCTGTGGCTGCCCTTCCTCCTCACAGGGAACCGGCGAACAAGAAATCGCTCCAGAGGGCAAAACCGTCCTACTAATGTCAAGGAAAACACAATCAAGTTTGAAGGAGATTTTGATTTTGAGAGTGCAAATGCCCAGTTCAACAGAGAGGAGCTTGACAAAGAATTTAAGAAGAAACTAAATTTTAAAGGTCTGCTCCATGTGGAAGCTGTCATCTCGGAGATGTGCCTGGAGAGTGCTGCGAGGCTGGGCTGGCGAGGGCTGGCGGGGCCGTTTAGCCTGGAGCGGGCCCAAAGCGCAGGGGCAGCTGGGGCATCCGGAGCTGGCTGGGCCTCCTGTGAGGCAGCGGTCATGGCCATCAGTGGCCTGGGGCCCTGTGTGGGCTTGACTCAGCTGCTGAGCAGCCTCCAGGAGGGTTGGGGGCGGGGGGGCCCTGGCCTGGGGTACCTGCTGCTTCTGCACCTTGTGTGCTGTGCTTCTCCCTGCAGAGGACAAGGCTGAGAAGGGGGAAGAGAAGGACCAGGCTGTGGTCACGCAGAGTGATGAAACTCCTGCTGAGGAGGACCTTCTGGGTCCCAACTGCTACTACGACAAATCCAAGTCGTTCTTTGACAACATCTCTTCTGAGCTCAAGACCAGGTGAGAGTCGTGGGAAAGTCATCATTTCGAGTCTCGGCAGCACAGGGCTGAGGAGCTCAAATCCGAAGACAGCTGGGAGTTCTTAAGTTGAGCATGTGGGGGGGGGGTGTATGGTAGTGGGACTGAACTCGGCCTTGGGCGTGCGACTCTGCCACTGAGCCACATCCCCAGCCTTAGCACATGGGTTTTAAGTAGACCTTACCTTTTTCTTTGTTTTATTTTTAGTTAAGGTCTAGCTGTGTAGTCTAGCTTAGACTGAACTCACTCTGTAGCCTAGGCTGACCTCAGACTCACAGCAGTCCTCTTGCCTCATCCTGCTGAGTGCTGGGATTATAGGTGTGCGTTACCACACCCACCAAATCTTAGAGTCCTGGCTATGCTCACCTGGGCTTGCTAGGATGTGGTCCAGAAACCCTGTCATTTGCCTGAATTGCGGGAGCATCACTGACGCCGAGCCTCTGCAGGACCTGCTAGGCTTCATACCCACATTCAGTGTTCTTTTTGCCTGGCCTACCAGTTGGGCAGCCTTCTCCCCCAAGCCAGCAAAGGACCTTGCTACCTGAAACAACTGGGACTCAATGATCCTCCTGTTTTCAGCCTCCCCAGCACTGGAATGACAAGTGTGTGCCCAGTCTCGGTGGCCGGCTCAGCGTGCCCAGGGCCGGGGCTGGCCTGGCCTGGTGTGTGGTGCCGGGGAACAAACCCTAGTCTCTGCACTTCCCTAAGCAGGTGCTTAGTCCGCTGAGCTCTCTTACCGGCCCTGGTAGAAGGTTCTGACAAGATGTTCCTTCCCTCCAGTATTGGCAGCTAGCAGCCATACCATGTTCAGCACCTATATAGAAGCCAGCAAGAGTGGCCATGGTATGGAAGCCAAGACCCATGCATGCATCCTGCAGGTGGACCACAAGCATGCTGCCAAGCACTGAAGAAGGGCAGGAGGCAAGCTGGGCAGCCTGAGTGCATGCTCCATGCTCCACCTGGGGCTGCGCACTGTGCAGCACACACAATAGGAGCAGGGGAGGCTCAGAGCAGAGTGTGGGAGGAAACATGGTCAGGTCTCAGATGGTGAGCTGTGTACGAGGGACAGGCTGCTCCAGGCAGCCCCAAGCCTATGTGTTGGGCTGAGTGGAAAAGGGTAGGATGGGAAGAGGTTGCTTAGGGTTTTGGGGGTGCAGTGGTGGTGTTGGGGTTATTCTGAGCTTACGGATAACCATCAAAAATACCTTGCTGGTGCTGTGTCACATCGTGAGGAGAGTGGCTGAAGGTGGGCACTATGGATACTGGTTGGCTAGGCAGGCTGGTCAGCTCTGGGGTTATTTTGGTGAGGGCATGGGTGCAGTCGAGGGAAGGGCTAGGGTTCCAGTGCTGTGTAGCTGGTGTTGACAATAGACTGACAGGCTGGGGATTCCAGAATGACTGGGTGTCTTAGTCAGGGCTGTTGAAAGCCAAGTCATTCTTTCTCCACCAAGCCTTTGGGCATAGCAGGCTGCTGGCTGGAGGGCAGGCATGCCGCGCCGTTATGCTCTGGTCCCAGGTCTAGGTGAGCCTGGGCTTCCCGGCACTTCCCTCTCTGAGGCAGGCGCTAGGGCTCCGTTGATCACCCACTGGCCTTGCTTTCTCGTTCCTTCCCTCCCTTGGTGATAAAGGTGCTTTCTTTTTTGGAGACAGGTTCTTGCTCCTGTAGTTCAGTGTAGCTTTGAACTCACAGCAGGTTCCTTGTCAGCCTTCTGAGTGCTGGGATACAGTTGTCCCATTATCCCCAGCTTCCGAGGTGCGTCTTTAGCAGCCCAGTGCACAAGAAGAAACAGCCCTGGCCTCAGTGTGCACGGGGGCTCCCATGCCTTGGGCGTGGTCCCAAGAGTAGCCGACCACCCTTCCTATTCCCTGCCTGGCTCAGAAACTTGAGCGGTGCCCATGTCCACCAGAACCTCATCTTTGTTTCAGTTCTAGACGAACAACATGGGCCGAAGAGAGGAAGCTGAATACAGAGACCTTTGGGGTATCAGGGAGGTTCCTCCGCGGCCGCACCTCCCGCGGTGGATTCCGAGGAGGCAGGGGCAACGGGACCACTCGCCGCAACCCAACCTCCCACAGAGCGGGGACTGGCAGGGTATAAGGACGCAGCCTCCTGCGTGAGTGTCACCCCTTCTGGATCCCTGGGGCATGTGGACCCAGATGGAGTTAGGACCCGGGAGCAGGCTCCATGTCTGTCCCCCAGGGAGAGAAGCTGTGACCCTCAGAATCTACCCAGCGCCTGTAGGAATAGTGGAACCTGGGCCAGCCGTGGCCGGGCCTCAGGGAGGACCTGGCCCCTGCCTCTGCAGTGAGGGTCTGCACATGGCAGGGCGAGGGCCGTGGTTTCTCTGGTGTGCTGAGTGCTTGCTGCCGAGTAGTTGGCCGGTGAGTTTGCTACACTCAGTGTCACAACCCCACCTGGCCCTGTGCCCTCAGAACCTGTGAGAGCAAGGGCGGGTGACAGGTGCGCCCTTGGGGCTGGGCAGAAGGACCCTGTGGGAGCCCGCACTGAGCCGGTCCTCGGTGTGGGTCATGGTAGGTGAGTGGGCAGCCCAGCCCCATTTGGGTGAGAGGCAGGGCAGTTGAGGGGTCCCTGGTCGTCTTCAGTCAGCAGTGCCCGGTGATGCTGGTCTGCTGATTACAAAACATGGAGGGACTGCTCACTTCTGTCTCTTACAGGTTCCTGCCGAAGAGGTACAGGTGGTGCTGCACATAAAAGGACACAGGAAACAATGCATACGGGGGAAGTGGGTCCCAAATTCCCATAGTGCTACTTATATTTGGACTCAACTGAACTTGGACGTGGTCTGAGTTAGAACCACTTGTTTTGGGGAAAGTATTCATGGGTAACCTCTTTGAGGTATCTTGACCTACGTTCCTTTTTGGTTGTGCATAGCCTAATTGTAAGGTTTTGGTATTTTGCAAAGATGTTTCTATAGCAAAGGCTTGATTCTCACTTCGTGACTGTTTCTTTTTTATGACAGCTTTGACTTTTAAAATGGAACCAAATCTCTTTTGGCACATGTGGCATCCAAGTGCATCTCTAACCCATCTGGTCCCTGGTGCTGCTGGCCTGGCACCCTTATTGCCAAGGGTGGGATCTCAGGAGCCGGGCAAGGAAGGGCAGCACAGAGTGGGCTGGATGTGTGGGGTGGGTGGGCTGAGGGCAGGGAAAGAGGGTGTCCCCGTGGATCATGTTGTACAAGTGACATCAGGGTGAGGACTGGCAGAGGGTGCTGGACTCGTAGTGCAAAGGACCCCGAGTGACAGCTGCCGAGTGTTATATGGAGCCTGGCTGCTGGAGGCCCTGACGCGGTGGGTCGGAGCACAGGGCGAGCCCTGGTGTCCCCCTGGCTCTCTTGTCCCTGCCTAGCCTCTGTTCTCGTTCTCTTGGAAATGAGCCAGCCTTGGGGGGTTGGGGGGAAGGTCCGTTGACCTTATTTCCTGGATTGTAAATAGTTGTGTTTTTGTTTTAAAGTGAGTGGAGGGAGGGTGGGGAATATAAACTCGTTGCATGAATGGGTCAGACCTTGAGTGTAAGCATGCCTCCTCTGACAGGGCCTTTTGTTTAAAATAAGCACCTCGGTAACTAAATTCCTTTAATAGCGGAAAATGACTTTAGTTCTGTACCGATTAAGTTACTGTAAAAGCTTGGATTTATTTTTGTAGGCTTTCTTGGCTGAGAACTAGAATATTAGCACTGGGGTTGCTCTGTTAGAGAAATGTAAATTGTAACTATAAATAAATACGCAGACCTTTAAACTGCTGTCTCTGCTGACCAAATGATCTCCGCCATGTTTAGGGTTCAGCGAGAAGCAGGTGCTGTCAATACCTGCACACTGGGCTGGGTAGGATCTGAGAATTGGGCTTCCGTGGGTGTCTGGGGAAGGAGGGAGCCAGCTGCTGTGGTTGGAGTAGACCGCTCTGTGTCCTCGCCGTGGCAGGCTTGTGCAGGAAGTGGCTGTGCTGCCAGCATTGCGGACACAAGAGGTTAAAAGCAGCCCACTTCATCCCAACTCCAGATTGCTAAGCTGACCCGAGGTGCCCGGTCGGGATTGGTTTCCCTTAGCACTGGCCTGGGGCTCAGCAGGCTCCGTGATAGGAGCTGCAGACAGGCAGCCTCTGTGGGGGCTGATGGTGCAAATGATGCCCATGGAACTTTCCTCAGCAGGAATGTCCTACGCAAACAGCCACAGCACCAACTCTTAAGGGACACAGTTGAGCAGGCACTTCTCTCCTAGAGTCCAAATGTAGTTTAGCCACCTTACTACCTGTGACAAGCTTTGGCGTTAAAATTTTGGGCTGAAGTCACGTTGGCAGTGGGTTTATGCTGAGCTCGAACTGTGTGGGCCTTGTCTATGTAAACACCTTGTGTGCTTGCTTGGAAAACAAGAACCAGGGCACAGAGATCTGAGGTGAGCAGTGAGGCAGGTGTCAGGGCTAAGAACCTGAAGGCTAAGGCCATAACAAGGCCAGAAAGTGGTGAGACTAGGGAAGCCACAGGCCCTGAAGTAATGAGACCCAGCAAAGCAGTTAAAACCAGAAATACAAAACTAGCGTGCACATCTGCTGCTCTGCAGAATTCAAAGGCTCCGCCCTGACCCTTTTGTGTTTATTAATGGACTCAGTGTGTTGCGATCCCTCAGGCCTGCTGGGTGCTCGGTGCTCTAGAGACCCCAGCTCTGAGAACTGGTTCATCCTAACAGCCTGGTAACGAAGGACATGTTAAAGCCAGCTGTCATTTTAAAAAGTGAGGGGAAAGACTTCGTTCTTTTTCTTTTTTTTGTGGCCTGCTCAGCTGGCCCTAGGAACTGGGCTGGCATGGCATGTGGTGCCAGCGATCAAACCACAGTCCCTGCACTTACCTAAGCAGGCACTAAACCACTGAGCTATCTTGTCAGCCCCAGGAGACTTTTTAGTTACACCTAAATGATAGCATGTTCTCTTTAGAAGGAAAGGTTAAAAAATACGGAAGTTTATTGGGTACTCAGTGCGACAGAAGGGAAGCTCCACTGAGACTCCCCCATGAGTTTAAAGCCGCTCCAAGCAAGGAAGCTTTCTTCATGATGCTTTCTTTTGTTTCTTCTTTTCATTTTCTTCTTTTTCCTTTTCAATTTCGGCAACATATTTCTCAATTTCTTCAGGATTTAGAATCTTTAAAAACATTTATAGTTAACCCCCCTGCTTCATGACACACAAAACACCAGCGTTCTTTGTAGAAGCTGAGTTTTATAGAGCAGCCCCTCCTCCTCTAGTCCCCTTGGAGGAAGACCTCATGGAAAATGGGGTGTTTGCCTCATCTGCTTCACAGCCCCTCTGTGCTGGGAACACCCGAACAACGTCCTGAACCATAGGAAGGGAAGCCCCACCTGGACAGGCCTGGAGTTCAGGCCATCGGAATAGCACTACAGGGACAATACCCCTTTAGAAAGAAAGGTCAGTTAGGGTCATTCTGCTAGGGTTTTGGCAGGTGACAGAAATTCAGCAATTACCTTGAGGGGCTGATCTCGACGCATGACAGCAAGTTCAATGTTTTTGCCACCTGATTGGACCACCTTGAAGGGGAAGAAGACCCGTATATAGCACTGCCCAAGGGGAAACCCAGCACCACAGGTCTAGCCCACACACATGGTGTGTGGGAGGCCTGTTCAGGGTGCTTCCTCCCAGCCTACCCACTGCCTGTGCTGCTGGCCCTCCCTAGATGGGCACCACTGGCCACTGGGAAGCCCAGGCCCCCCTCTTGGCCTTGCAGCCACCTCTGGCTTTACCCACTTGCATCTTCAAGGTGCTAGTAAAGGAGCTGCCAGCCACCAGCCCTGGGGTTCCTCTCCATCCCCTGTGGTGGCATATGCCCAAAAGGCCAAGTTTATGTCCAGCCTGCTAGGCATGCTGTGCCTCTGGCCACCCAAAGGCATGAACGACCCGATCCACCCCAGGCTTTGCAAGCACAACAGCTGTGACGGCAGCCAGGGCATCTTGGCCCTGGCCCAGGTTTCTTCCTGTGTACTTACTTCCAGGAGGGCTTTGATCACCAACTTGATGGTCAGGTCATCGGTCTCGATGGCTTCATCGGTGTAGTTCTTCTCCAGGAACTCACGCACTGACTTGGCACCCCTGCCTATGGCATTGGCCTGAGAACAGCGAGTGCGTGTTCACATGGTAGACAGCATGACAAGCTGGATGCAGCCTGTGCAGGCCAACACTTTCCCAGGGTTGTGTGCTGTCAGCTCTCCACGGTAGGTGACAGCCCCAGCCGCAGCCACTTTTTTCCTTGCTCCCTTTTTAGCAACAGGCTAGGGTTCCTGCTGATTTTTTTTTTTTTTTTTTTTTTTTTTTTCGGAACCGGGGATTGAACTCAGGCCCTTGTGCTTGCCAGGGAAGTGCTTATTCCACTGAGCCATCTCCCCAGCCCCCTGCTGATTCTTATCAAGAAAGAAATCAGACTTTTGACCTTATGCCAACCAGCAATGCTCAATTAATTTTTGGTTTCCAACCAGCAGCTGCTATGGAACAGCCAACTAACACTACCGCCTGCTCTGAAGCAAGGGGCTCTGTCCCTCCCCATGGCCTAGCCCTGCAGCCTCCCAAGAGCTAAGGCCCCTTTATTCTGTCATGCACTCACCTTCCAGGCATGGTATGTGCCAGAGGGGTCAGTCTGATAGAGGCGGGGGGTGCCATCAAAGTCAAAACCCACAATCAGGGCAGAGATGCCAAATGGCCTGCGCCCGTTGCTCTGCGTGTAACGCTGGTAGAGAGAAAAGTCAGTGGCATCAGCTCTAAAGCAAGTCATGCATCAGAACATCTAAGCTTAGTAAGGCATGAGAACGTTCACTGTAAGCCCCTCCGAGGTTATCTGACGTGCCAACAATGAACTAGCTAATAGCTCTCAACAGCCCTCTGCTCCTCTGCACTTCAATTCTTGGACGCTGCTAGCCTAGCATTGTGGCGCAGCGCACCGACGCTATGAAAATTGTTTTGACAGGCTCGTTTCTGGCTCTGCACTAGGTTTAAAGATAAATGTCTCCCCAGGGAGTACAGACGGCTTCAGTCCTCTCCAAATTAACTGGCAAGGAGTTGTTTGGAGCGGCACGATGAAACTGTGCCATTCAGCAGGCACGCCCCATCCTGGAGCGACTGTGTGGGATATCTGCACCACGCCATGTCAGGAAATGAGCACAGAGAGGGTCGCCGGGCTGGAGAAGCCAGACTATACCGCACACACACTCGTAAGTGCGGGTGGGGATGAACAGGACCTGCCTAGCAGAACAGCGCCTGACCACAGCCGGTGCTCACCCACCTGCTTCAGACTGGCAATGTAGCGGGTGATGTACTCCACAGTCACCGGGTCCTCCACAGTCAGCCGGTGGCTCTGGCACTCCACCCGGGCCCTGTTGATGACGATCCTTGCATCAGCAGTGAGGCCTGCAGAGAAAGCAGAGGTGTCTGTCAGCCACTCCTCAGTGCTCCACTGAAGATAGGAACTATTCCCATGGAACAGCATTTAACCTTCTGCAGGTTCCCACATCATACTGAGGTCATTGAGAAGTGGCCAACGGTGGACCCACTCAGCCTCTGGAAGCTTGTTTAAGAAAACAGACATACAAAATACTGCATCAGGGCTGGCCAAATAGCTCAGTGGATTAAAGCACATGCAAGCAGGCGCAGGGGCCCAGGGTTTGATCCCCTTGCACACGCTGAGGCGGTGATTGAGACTGGGTGTGGTGGCACGCACCTGTAATCCCAGCTCTTGGGAGACTGTAAACAGAAGAATCACTACGAGTCCGATCTAGTAGTGAGACCCTGAACACCCTGTAGACCCTTCCCTAAAATACAGAGAAACCCAAAGACCAAAAATCAAAATACTACAATCTCCGGTTCTGCCAAATAATAAATAAAAATCAAAATACTGCATCAGACCCACTGAAATTCACTGGCTGAGTCTTCCTGAAACCCTTTTTTGAACTACTGGACATAACCCAGGATGACAAATCCCAGGCAAGTATTCTACCACAGAGCTGTTTCTCCAGTCCGGCCTTGAACTTGTGATCCTCCTGCCTCAGCCTCCCAAAGAGTGGGGATTACAGGTGTGTACCTAGCCTTCTTAGGGGCTCTTAGGGATACAATCAGTCTCTGATTTCATTTACTTGATTTGAGATGCTCCTAAATTGGCCCTGCCGTGGAAGAAATGGGTGAGGCTGGGGAGACATGAAGGCCAGTGTTTCACACTTGCTGCCCGAGGCAAAGCACTGTCCTGCTCTCTGCGCCACCCTGTGCAGGCCTGGATCTCAGCTGGCAATCACCAAAGCAAGGATAACAGTGGAGGTGGGATGCAGCAGCAGCCCCAGATGCAACGCGTTCATTTAGCCACTTGTGTTGTGCCCTCACTGGCAGAGGAGCCCAAGAAAAAACTGGCCACCTCCTTCTTCGAGTCCAAATTTATTTCTACTAGGTCACTTTTCACTGCTGGTTTACACATCTCACAATCACCGCACCCACCCACAAGGATCCCCAAGCACTGTTTCTCATCATGACTCAGAAAGACCCTAGCCACAGACTCGTACCTGCAAAGGCCATGCAGACGTTGTCGTCCAAGGCACAGATCTTCCGCACTGTTCTTTCATCTTGTAGTTTAGCCACTGATTTCTTTTCCACTCCGAGAACAACAATGTCTCTTCCTCGAACACCAACCTGCAATAAAAACCCACAAGCCATGTGAGAATGACACGGTGCCACCAGGCAGGGAGCACGAGAGCAGACGCTACAAGAATCCTGGCAAGACTGAGGGTAGCAGCCAGCGGAAATGTGCTCACCCATACCCCTCCTCTCCTGGCCTGGCTCTACTCACTCCACACCATGCCCTGCAAACTCCTTGGGCAGGCAGTGTAGGTTTCGTGACATAGGTGCCTAAGCTCATGTTTTTAAAATACTGATAGGCAGATGTGTCATTTCCACCCAAATAATCCCTTGAATGACTGCAGTTGGAGATGAACCTTTCCCTCAGGCGTACTGAAGCCGGTGTTTCTGGGGCCGTGAAGTCTTATTAAGGACCACTTCCGCACCCCTGTATTGTCGCACATCAGTGTGCACAGCAGTGGGAAGGACCAGGCTTGCAACAGGGAAACAACCACTTACTGTAACTTTAAGCCCACCGCTCCCTGGTTACAGCCGGCACTGCCGAGGAAATGCTGTGGCCACTAAAACAAGGAAAACCACTGACTTTCCTCAAGTCAAGACAGGCACAGAAACACACGGAACAATCATTCAAACAGGCTGCCTAACTAGCACTGGAGCGGGCGGCTGCACCTAAATTCTCCAGACGCCAGGACCACCTCTGCAACGTCCGGACCGCAGCAGAGCTCTGCACATGCGCCCAAAAGTCAGAATGTGTCAGGTCCTGGAGCTTTCTCCCGCTGACTGACGTGACCCACGTGCCCAGAGGACCTAGGTGGATATGCTAAGCTGCTGGCTCTCGAAGCGCGGGACGCTGGGGGTGGGCATCGCGAAGATCCTCTTCCGGAGCAATCTGGCCTGAATTAGGGCCTCAGACAGACCTGGGATATTCACTAACCTTATCAAAGCGGCTAAAGACTTACAAACAGAAACACTTCAAATTTCAGAACCCACATGCTGGCATTCTGCCCATTCCAACCTTTATAAAGATCAGGTGACAAGAGTGGAGCACTCGTGGCTTGACAAGTCACACTGACAGCAGTCCTGAAAACCTCACGACTTTACAGCAGCTTGCACTAAGGTTCCCAGACTCGGGCCGGCAGGCAAGGGCCACGCTGGGGAGAACAGCGCGGCAGGCGGGCGGGCCTGGGCGGGCGGGCCTGGGCGGGCGGGCCTGGGCGGGGCAGCCGTGGCTCCGGAGCCAGAGCCGGAAGCCGCTCGTCACCGCCGCAGGCCCGAGCGCTGCCCTTTGTTCTCGATGCCCACCTGGGCCTCGCGCCGCCCGCACCCGCAGCCTCGGCTCGGGAGCCACGCAGGGGCCAAGATTGTTCCGGCCTGCCTGCCCGCCTGCCCGCCTGCCCGCCCGCCTGCCCGCCTGCCGGAGGAGGCCGGCCGCGCGGGATCGGGGCCGGGCACCGCCTGCGCCAGATGTCTGTTCAGGTAAGGGGGCACAAACAGCTGCGTGACAGCCCTGGAATAATGCGCCAGGGCCGTCTCCGCGGCCCGCAATCCACGGCGCGGGAGCGCGCCCGAAGTCCGGCTCCCTTCCCAGCGCTTTCCTCGCGCCGCAAGGCGAAGCAGCGCGCTCCGCAGGGAAGAGCGCCGGCCCGCGACCGGACGAGCCCCGCGCCCCGGTCCCGCGGGCCCTGGCCGGCTCACCGCGGTCGAGCCCTTCTTCACGGCCTCCTGCGCGTACTCTACTTGGAAGAGGTGGCCGTCGGGCGAGAAGACGGTGATGGCACGGTCGTAGCTCATGCCGGAGACGCGGCCGGACTCCGAGCGCTCGTCGCAGCCGCCGCTCAAAAGCGCTCACTCACTGCCGCCCGACCCGACGTCCCGCCCGCGCGCGGACACGCTGCCGGCGTCGCTGCGTGCGGCGTCAGTCGTGAGGCTGACGTGCGGACGCCGGGGCGGGGCGCCGGGCC